AACTTTTGTACTTTGAATTAGCCCCCTTGTACCCGGCTGGGTGGGCTGGCCTTTTGGGCCATGGCAATAGCCCAGACACCTTCTCTGCGCTGAATATATATTCTGCCCGAGTACTGTGTCAACTTTCGTCTTCAGAGAAGTCTCCGGACGGTACAATAGGGTTGAATTTTACTTGCGTTTGCGTAGCATGACTGTAAGGTGCATTTCGCTTTATTTCTTAAAAATGGAAAGTTCTGCATTGAAATTAGCAAAGGTTTGCTATACCCCATTGCAGACGGAAGAGAAATTTTGACCTAAATTAAAAAAAGAATCCAAAAATAAAGCGTGAATAAATGCCATAAGAAGGGTTACATTCATTTGATGGACAAAACGGCATGAAAAACTTTACCAAACCTTACTTTAAAACTCTAGAATGTTAATTATTTCCAACCTTGATTGCCATGGTTACATTTGTGGCGCATTTAATCTACAGGGAATGGAAAATGAGGAAGGTAAAACTGAACAACCGCAAGAACCCCCCATTGATCAAGTTCAAACAAAACAAGCACATCCTCCTCCTTTCAGTTTTTCTGAGACTTTACAACAGAAAACAACAGAGTCTTATATCCCTCCAGCGACTCGACGGTTCATTGCTGAAGATCTTACGCATAACCCAGATGTTGTTCCCTCGTTAGCTGACTTAGTTATTAAGCAAATCATTGAAAATTTTTCATGTGAGTTAAAGCAGCTGATATACTCCCACACTCAATTAGGTACTTCCGTACTTTAATAATTTAAGAATTCCAGGTTTCCTTAATAAGTGCGTTGTCAACCGCTGGAGCATAACTTTTAGAATGTAGAATCAGCCGCCTCTCTCTTCGTTCATAATTGACTGTCCGCCAGACTACCTTCTCCTCTCATTTAATCAGTTAATTACAGTGCCCTTCCACACCTCAACAAGGAGCAACTACAACACGTATTGGACGCTCTTCCAACGGATATTCCTCTGAGGGTCGTTGCACACACTATCTCTGATGAGGCCTTCTGGCAGCGCATGAGCCTCTCCCGCTGGCCCGTAGTCGATGTAGTTAAGCATGGAAATTCGTGGAAGTGCGCCTTCTTTGAGAAGTACCTTGAGCAAATGATCCACGAGTATGTGCCGGACCAGACCTATCCGGTGTGGATAGAGGAGGCGGTGCAATTCGGTGCAACATACGTCCGACGCCTCGATGTTAAAGAGCTTCTCCCACCGGAGAAATTTATGATAAGAAATACTAGGGTGAGCCGGATTATTCCGTAAATTAGGATTTCCCTATTTCACAAGGCGCCGCATCAGCCCTATCTTGTTTTAATTGCCCAAAACAACTCAATAATTCGCTTCTCTCCTTTCAGCGATCCGCCTTACCTACTACCTTCCTGAATAATGAACAGGGATCTCGAGATTTCGCAGTGGGCAAGAAAAAATCCGATGACTATAGCGACGACTTTGATGAGCAAGAAGACGAGGAGGGCGGCGGCGTCGGTGGTGCAGAGGGAGCATTCATTGGTGGAGTGGAGGAGGGAGGAAACGAAGGCACTGGCGCTGGCGGCGGTGGTGGTGAAGATGACGAGGAAGGTGAGATCACGGCCGCAGTGGACCACTTGGATTTGGGTCAAGTTATTGCAAAATTGGATCGATTGACACACCTTAGTGTGCAGTATCGTGTTCGCAATGTGGGCTTGGATTTTGAGTGGAGCCAATTTCAGTTCACTGGCCGTGATTGCGTCAGTTTCTCTAAGGCGATTCGGAATCACACCTCGTTGAGGATTCTGGAGTTGGTGAAGTGAGTTCCGATAGATTTGATGAATTTGAACTGTATTAATTGATGAACTTGACAGGGGAAAGCAGTTTGTCGGTCAAGATGACCGGATAGTAGCACCAAGACGGTGAAGTCCGATCCGACTTTGTCAGTAATATTAACGGCTTCTCTTCCTTGCACCCTTATAGCAGTCGCGTGGACTGTGAGAGATGCCGTGTGCTGGTTGGTCACCTCCTCGATCACCCCTCGCTGCTAGTGCTCAACCTCTCGCACAACATCATCTCCGATTGGGGCGCCCGAGCCCTGGGAAAACTAATCAACGGACGCAGCCGATTAGAATGCCTCGATTTGACAAACAATCGGGTGAACGCGGAGGGAGGTGAGGCACTGAGTCATGCGCTGTCAAAGGGTGCCGGCACCTTGATGAAACTCAACCTTCGTCTGAATTGCATTCGTGACGATGGCGCCAGCTCTATCGCTCGGGTGAGCAGAAACATGCTGCTAATGAAAAGTATTAAGTGCATTTAAAAACGACAAACTTATGGTCGACACTGCTACTAACAAAGCACTCAGTAGACGCAACGATGGGGCTTGTGAGGGTACACATTTAGACAGCATTTTTGACCACCACTAAACTGACTGCTATGGTCACGAAAGAACCATAGAAAAAGCTGGAAAAATATTGCTTTTTTTCATTGTGTCGCTTAAGTCTTTGCTGCGAAACACCACCCTGAGGGAGCTCAATCTGGCCGCCAACAGCATCGGTGATGCGGCGATCCTCGTCTTTGGTCAAGTTCTCACGCACAACTCGACCCTACAGAAATTGGATCTTTCCAATAACAGCATCAGCTCGGTGAGTTCAGATAGGATTTGAGATGAAAAAAGTGAACGCCAGTCGTGAATCACATATTTTGCCATTTTGAAGGAGGCAGGCAAAAAGTTCCAGGAGTGTATAGCCTCCAACCAGACCCTCACCTACTTGGACCTTCGTTTCACTGGAATCCCACAGGTCTTTGAATTCACTCTGCAACAGAACATCGAGGCCAATGATAATCGGTACCGTATGGAGCGGGAGAAAAATGCCGAGGTAAGAATAGGGAAAGTTAAGCAATTAGGCCACCAAAACAGTTCATGGCAACATTGTGCTATCTGCGGCACACGGTTCCACGCAGCCGCAGCCTAAAAGTGATTTCGTTTGTCTCGCCCTTCTAGACCAGCCACATGCCACTCCCGGGCCTGATCAGCGTGGCGGTGAACAAGGTGAAGTCGGATTTGGAGAAGACCAAGCCACGGCCTACCGTTTTCAGTCTCCAGTGAGCGCACCCACCCAGCATCCACGATCGCGTATTGTGATACACTCGCCTCCTTGTGCATAGAACAACGTCCACAGGTACACAGTTTGCATATAACCACCGAAATTATGCATTTCTCTTCATTTTTTTTCTAAGAAAGCAAGGAGGTTGAAGGGGAGGGGGGGTTGGGAAGGATGTCAGGAAGACAAGTAATAGAGACCTAATGAGAGGAGGGTAAGAAGTCACGATGTACACAGTGTAATGAGGGGGAATTATCACAAGATGAGGCTGATATATCCAGTCGATGAAGTGCCTACAAAGGAAGAGTGCGCTAAACTCACACTGATTGGCTGGTTTGAATACGGTCGATACGCAGGGACTGACCTAGAGGAGGGCGGGGGGCTTTGTACACATTTGATTGGTTTATTGGTGCGCCTCTGTTGCCCCGATTTGATGTTTCAGTCGTTCAATCTCCAGATTGGTTTGATGCTCAAGTAGCTGTCGCCTTGCCTGCTCCTTAACCAAAACATGCGAGTGTTAACAAATGCCGCGATGTTACTCTGTTATGAATTAACCGCGTTGTGCAAACCTGGAGGTTAAGGAGCCTATCATCAGAAGAGGATTGTGGGGTTATAGACGATCCCAAACCGGAAGAAGGTGGACGAACGTTTTTCGTGGAAGGGGGTTGGGGAGGCAGTGGGTGCAGTTGCTCCTCCCCAACGGATTCGGCACTCCCGCCCTGTGGCATTGCCAAATGCTAAATGGGCGACAGATGACAGGGACAGGATATCACCTCGTCTAAAATCATCTCCCCCACATACCGTGTGAGTGGTAGCAAACTTACTGGAACAGAAGAGAAGGATTTGAGGTGGGTGGTGGAAAACCCGTTCAATGGGGAGTGGAGATTTCGACGAACCAGCGACTCGATAGCGTCAAAATGCCGAAGCGCTGCATCGATTCCACCGGCGGTGGGGCTGGAGGCGGCCAATTCAGTCTTGATTGCAAACAGAGCTTCCTGCAGACGGCGCTCACGATCTGAAACCTCTTCACTGGCCGCTATCTGGAAGGTGCAGTAGGGGAGACGATAAAAATCAAAACCGTCGATGGCAATTGGAGCATCTCTAATTTAATTGGTGCTACTGGATTTTCCATCGAGAGTAGATCTGAAGTGTGTCCTATCAGTACTTGTGACAGCCAGCTCACACGTCGTGGGCCGGCTAGGTGGGATGACAGACGGCAGTGACACCGAGTGCGTGTACAGGCGCTCCAGAATTGTGCTTCAGAGGTAAGCAGAGAGGGGACAGAGAAGTGAGTGTGCATTGTGACAGGGGGTGAGGACAAAAACAACGACTGTCTGAGAATTAGCGGAGTGTGTGAAAGCTCAGTGTACAAGTTTTGTTTACGAATGTGCTTTGTCAAATTTACCACGAAAACCTCGTCCATCAGCGTGCCAAAAGTAGACACCTTGAACAAAAATCATTACTTAGACAAGATGCTACTGATGCCAAATAAGTAGGCGTCAGTAGAGAGCAGAACGCACCCTAGCCTGGAGGTAAGTGTAGTTTCGACGCAGGAGGGCCAGCTCTTCAGCAAACACACTTGCGCGATTACACTGCTCCTCGGCCACACGTTCAAGGTCGGCCAGTTCCTTGGCTGTGCGGCGTTTAAGCTTCTTGCAGGCACGTTGTGTTGCCTCCAATTGACTACGGGTTGTCGTCAGCTCTGAAACCAGCTGGCTGTGGTCCTCCATCAGCTTTGTTTTGTCACCGATAAGCACCTCAATTTCGTGTTCTGGAAAAATGAGGAAAAGTGCGTAGACGTTTTTAACGAAAACAAAATCTATAAGTCTCCTACCGCTCGCCAGTGAATGCCTGTACCAAGAATCTATCAGTAGTATCACTTTTCAATTGAAGCAAATAGCGACAAAACGCAGCGCCTTCAAAAAAAAAAATCGAGCAAGCTCAAACATGCCTCGCTGTCTCAGAAGACTCTCGAGTCCCTCCAGCCTCGAAACCACTGCGTCGATATCACCGTGGTTATGCTAAATGAAATTAAAACGTATTTCCAACTTTTTAGTGAATTAAAATTCACCATTTTGGGAAAAAAACGCACCCTTGGAAACTGCAGTTTCACCTGCATCTCCTTAAGTAATCTCTGTTTCTCACTTATCTCGCGAGCCAGCCTTTCGGATTCCACCGTTTGGGCAGCGATTGTCTACGGAACAAAAAGGTTGTTTGTTTATTTTGAGTCCAACAAATCAGCACAAACTAATAAGAGACAGAAAAGCGAACCGCGTTTAGAGCCTGAAGTTTTTCACCAGCCCGTGAGACCTTAGTGTTGGAATCGGATTTTTCCAGCCTCTGGTGGGCTGATGTGATTTGATCCCTGTAAAGTGAGCAAAGAAAGATATCGGTAGAAGAACTACGGTGGCGTTTTTAACTACGACTGAAGAAAGCGACTGACTCTAGATTCTGGAGTTCGTTGGATCCTGCCTGCAGTTGCTGTTTGAGTTGGGTCAGTTCCATCTTTGCGGTGGACCTCTCAGAGGCGATCTGCTGAGTGGAATTGAGCATTCGCTGAAGCTCCTTCTCCATCGCCACGATTCGAGACTCCGAAGAGGAGCATAGGTCGGAGATGAGTCTACATGTCAATTTGTGACCAATTTACTTACGTTTACGATACAACTTAGAATCACGAAAGCCTTTGAGCCAAAGTTATTGATACAGGCAATTTAATTCTATTTTTTTCGTAAGCGGTCGAGTTCGATATCACTTGTTTGGCCAAAAAGGAAGAAATTTGGCGATGAATCTGCAGGACATCTTCAGCTCATTTTCTGCACTAATCAAAGCCAGCGAAGCTCATTGGGCGACCCATTCAAAAACAGCGGTTAACCAGTAGAATCTTTAAACGCAGCAATGCCATAATTATCTTAAACGCTTTTATAACCTGTACCATGAAATCGTCCCCTCCTATAAATCCCACCCCTCCAAAAACATGCCTGATGAGTTTCACAAAAAGCTCATTTAAAAATGCCATTGCTAAAAAGCATCCATACCTCTCTAACATAAACCTTGTGATTACAATGTGGTTAAGCTAAAACAACAGCAGTTCTTCCATGAACAGTGGACACAATCGAATTAATCCAACACTCACCTCTGTTTCACCTCCACACTGGCCTCAAACGCCTCCAACTGGCCCTTCAACAACTCGCCCTTCTGCCGTGTTAGTGACAACTGAGCCTCTGCATTTTGTCGGCGGGTTTGGGCCAAGACCAACTCCTCTTTCGCCTCGGTTAGGGATTTTTCGAGTTGGGACACCTCCTCCCTCTGGCAATTGCAAAAGAAGGCGCGTTTCATTAGTGTTTACAGGCTAGCACCGTACAGGTAGTTTACAACTCTGGCGACCTACCTTCATCCTCCTCTGATCCTCCAACTTGGAAATCTCGTCTTTGTGACGACTAATGTCGGCTTGAAGGTTTTGCAAGCGCAGTGTTAATTCACTCACATCCCCACTGATTGTTGGAATGCCATCGGAGGTCTGAAAAAAGAAGACACATCTTGCTACCGAGGAAGCTTTGTGGAGGTAGCGAAATCAAGAAGCTTGAATTACTGGGTGCATAGAGGCGGTTCGTCGAGAGGACTGAAGCTCCGAGGCCATGCGGTCCCGTTCCTGACGAACAGAATACAACTCCTCCTAAAATTAACACGATACAGAAAGGTTTATTTGGCTTTGGGATACTAAGGGGAAGAACTGTCTGCCCAAGGACATCTCACCTTGGCAATGCTGAGCTCATCCAGCTTGAGCCGCAGCTCACGACGAGTTGCCTCCAGCTGCACATCAGCTAGGTGCGCCTCTTGAGCCTTCTTGGAACGAAGGAGCTCCAGTTCTGCTGTGCGAATGCCGATTTCTCTCGAGAGGGTCTCCATGCGAGCCCGAGCTTCTGCAACCTGTGAGGAGAGAGTGGAAAGCTGAACGGCCCTTTCAAGGGACGATGATGCCCATGAAGCAAGAGGACCTAACCTTCGGTTGCAATTGATCCAACTCGTAGCGCGGTGAGATAGAGTGACTACTGTCTGACCGTGGATTTCCATCACCCACGGAGGAAGCTTCTGTGGTGAAACCGGTGAACCTGCATAGAGAAAATGGAAGTATTTTCGAAGAAACGAATTTGAGCCGAGATCGCCTCGACCTCATCAGCCCACTTATTAGGAAGGCTACTTGTCAATCGCTCTCCAAAAAGATTTTTACGGAGTTCCGTGACTATAATCATCATCTAGATATGTAGGTAGGTAGACTTCGAACGACAAGAAGGAGGGGAACTAGCTGATATGGCAGGATGGAGATTGCTTACGCTTGAGAAGTTCTCTTCTGCGGATGCGAGCTTTTTTCCTCAACACGTCGAGAAATCGCCGCCAATTCTTCTTTCCGATGCTCCTTTTGTTGCTCCACGGCAGCAATCTGTGGTGGGGCAGGATATCACGGAGGATTAAAGTGGTCAGGATGACCTATTCGCTTCATCATATACATGCGGGGGAATAAACTCTTCCACCACTTACCTCCACTCTCAGAGCACCGAGGTGACTGGTCAGTTCTGCGATCTTTTCCTCAAGGTGTTGCGATTCTGCCCTTTGAGCTTCAACTTGGTCAGCTTGTCTACCAACACGGAAGGAGGGTGAAAGTCAGCTGAGCCGATCAAGGCGCCACGGAACCGGGACAAAAAAACCTCAACTTACGAGGAGCGCTCCGCAATCATCGACTTCACCTTGTCATTGGCGCGCAGCAGCTCCTCTTTGCTCGCAAGCAGCTCACTGGTCACTCGAGTTAGCTCGCCTTCGCGCTCCTGTGGAGATGGGAAAATATCCCATAATCGAGAGGCCATTAAGCCTAACACTGCATCGAAATAAATTACTATCTTAACAATAGAAAAAAAGGACGCATTAAAGGCATCTTCGTAAATCTGTAAAACAATTGAATAGGTAGGAACAGAGGTTATAAACAATGGCAGGCGGGTAAACGTTACCTTCA